AAATCACAAAAGGGAAGCCCATGGCCAATGCATGCAAAAGATGCTCATTCTCACAGCTCATCAAATGCGCACATTCAAATTATTTTCATCAAATTCATACAGACTTTGTTTTCTTACTGGCATTATCTAGGATTGGTGAGGATGCGGGAAACAGTATTTTCCTATGATGGATGGGAACACTGCTTGGCACAGATATTCTAGTAGGCAAGGTGGCCATGTGCATCCAAAGGCAGGAACACTTGGCCTGCCATTTTCACGTTCAGGTCTTGATCCTTGGTAAATAATGAAAGCCAGGCCCAAACACTTAGCTACTTTTTTTTTTTTTTTTGGAGAGACGGGGTCTAATATGATTTGGCTCTGTGTCCCCACTGAAATCTCATCTTGAATTGTTCTCCCATAATCCCCACGTGTTGTGGGAGGGACCTAATGGGAAATATTCTGAATCATGGGGGCAGCTTCCCTCATATTGTTCTCATGGTAGTGAATATGTCTCACGAGATCTCATGGTTTTATTGAGGGTTTCCACTTCTGCACCTGTCATTTTCTCTTGCACCTCTCATTTTCTTTTGCCTCAGGCCATGATTCTGAGGCCTCCTAGCCATGTGGAACTGCAAGTTCCATTAAACCTCTTTTTCTTCCCAGTCACAGGTATGCCTTTATCAGCAGCATGAAAACAAACTAATACAGTAAATCAGTACAGAGAGTGGGGTGTTGCTGAAAACACACCCGAAAATGTGGAAGCAACTTTGGAACTGGGTAACAGGCAGAGGTTGGAAGAGTTTGGAGGGCTCAGAAGATACGAAAATGTGGGAAAGTTTGGAACCTCCTAGAAATTTGTTTAATATTTGACAAAAAACGCTGATAGTGATATGAATACTAAGGTCCAGGCTGAGGTGGTCTCAGATGGAGATGAGGAACTTGTTGGGAACTGGAGCAAAGGTGACTCTTGTTATGTTTAAGCAAAGACACTGGTGGCATTTTGCCCCTGCCCTAGAGATTTGTGGAACTTTGAACTTGAGAGAGATGATTTAGAGTATCTGGTGAAAGAAATTTCTAAGCAGAAAAGCATTCAAGAGGTGAGTTGGGTGCTGCTAAAAACATTCCATTTTAAAAGGGAAACAGAGCACAAAAAATTGGAAAATTTGCAGCCTGACGATGCAGTAGAAAAGAAACACCTATTTTTTTAGGAGAAATTCAAGTTGGCTGCAGAAATTTGCATAAGTAACAATGAGGGGAATGTTAAACCCCAAGACAATGGGGAAAATGTCTCCAGGGCATGTCATTGGTCTTCCCATCACAGACCCAGAAGCCTAGGAGGAAAAAATGGTTTTGTGGGCTGGACCCAAGGTCCCCATGCTGTGTGCAGCCTAGGGACTTGGTGCCTTGTGTCCCAACCACTCCAGTCATTGCTAAAAGGGGCCAAGGTACAGCTCAGCCCATGGTTTCAGAGGATGGAAGCCCCAAACCTTGGCAGCCTCTATGTGGTGTTGAGCCTGCAGGTGCACAGAAGTCAAGAACTGAGGTTTGGGGACCTCCACCTAGATTTCAGATGTATGGAAATGCCTGGATGCCCAGGCAAAAGTTTGCTGCAGGGGAGGGGCCCTCATGGAGAACCTCTGCTAGGGCAGTGCAGAAGGGAAATGTGGGGTCAGAGCCCCAACACAGTGTCCCTCCTGGGGCACTGCCAAGTGGAGCTGTGAGAGGAAGGCCACCATCCTCCAGACACCAGAATGGCAGATCTACTGGCAGCTTGTACCAGATGCCTGGAAAACGGGCACTCAATGCCAGCCTGTGAAAGCAGCCAGGAGGGGAGCTATACCCTACAAAGCCACAGGGGCGGAGCTGCCTAAGACTATGGGAACCCACCTTGTGCATCACCATGACCTGGATATGAGACATGGAATCAAAGGAAATCATTTTGGAGCTTCAAAATTTGACTGACCCGCTGGATTTTGGACTTGCATGGGTCCTGTAACCCCTTTGTTTTGGCCAATTTCTCCCATTTGGAATAGCTGTATTTACCCAATACCTGTACCCCCATTGTATTTATGAAGTAACTAGCTTGCTTTTGCTTGTACAGGCTCATAGGCGGAAGGGACTTGCTTTGTCTCAGATTAGACTTTAGACTGTGGACTTTTGGGTTAATGCTGAAATGAGTTAAGAATTTGGAGGACTGTTGGGAAGGCATGATTGGTTCTGAAATGTGAGGACATGAGATTTGAAGGGGCCAGGGGCCAGGGGCAGAATGATATGATTTGGCTCCATGTCCCCACCCAAATCTCATCTTGAACTGTACTCCCTTAATTCCCACGTTTAGCGGGAGGGACCCAGTGGGAGATAATTTGTATCATGGGGGTGGTTTCTCCCATACTGTTCTCATGGTAGTGAATAAGTCTCACGAGATCTGATGGTTTTATCAGATCGTTTCTGCTTTTGCATCTCTGTCATTTTTCTCTTGCTGCCACCACGAAAGTGCCTTTTGCCTCCCACCATGATTCTGAGGCCTCCCCAGCCATGTGGAACTGTAAATCCAATTAAACCTCTTTTTCTTCCCAGTCTTGGGTATGTCTGTATCAGCAGCGTGAAAACAGGCTAACACAGGGTCTCGCCGTTACCCAGGCTGGAGTGCACTGGCACAGTCATAGCTCACTGCAGCCTGGAATCCTGGCCTCAAGCGCTCCTCCTGCCTCTGCCTGCCAGGTAGCTGGGACCACAGGCAGGAGCCAACCGCACCCAGCTCTAACTGCCACATTATTTGTCACCACATGATTTATAAAGCCAGGTCCAGTAGAAAAACAGATGATGTTTTACAAGAAATAAACCACTTAAATTTCCTAAATGTACCACAATGAACATATGTTGCGTTGTAGAAGAAATTTTTCACGTGGGACTGATACTTATATTTTTGAAAAGAGGGCAAGGTCCTTGCACAGAAAATGTTTATACACCACCTTGGCAGAGCGGATTTTACTGGAGGCGTCTCTCTAGATAACATCTCAATACGGATGGGGTGATGGGTGTGTCCCGGGGCCATGAGTAGCCTCCTGCAGCTCAGCGCTTCGGGCTCCTAGGAACCACCAGTCCCAGATGGCAGGGGGAGAGGCCTGGCAGGAGGGGAGGGACACAGCTGCTCCTGCATCCCTGGCTCAGCTGCTCCATACAGGGCAAGGAAGCAGCTATGGGGTTGGAGTCGGCCATCCTGGCCTCATCTCCAGGGTCCTGGCCACATAAAGTCAACACAAAGGTAACCCCAAATAAAAACATGTCCATGCAAAGGAACACAGGTCAACACACCTTTAAAAATAAAACCATAGAGGTTGCTGCTTACATAGGGTGGACTGGAACCTTCACCATGTCCCCTCCTTCTGGTGACCAAACCAAACCAAGGCTAAGGGAGTACTAAAACTTCCCACCTCACAGGCCGGGTGCAGCGGCTCACACCTACAATCCTAGCACTTTGGGAGGCTGAGGCAGGCAGATCACTTAAGGTCAGGAGTTAGAGACCAGCCTGGCCAACACGATGAAACCCCATCTCCACTAAAAATATAAAAAATTAGCTGGGCGTGATAGCGCGTGCCTGTAATCCCAGCTACTCGGGAGGCTGAGGCCAGAGAGTCACTTGAACCCGGGAGGCCGAGGCTGTAGTGAGCTGAGATTCTGCCACTGAACCCCAGCCTGGGTGACAAAGCAAGACTCCATCTCAGAAAAAAAAAAAAAAAAAAGTCCCACCTCACACTAACAAAGAGAATGAGGAGGGATCCTTAGAGGACCTGAGATTTCAACCACATGGAGCAGGAGGAAGATGCTGTGACTGAAACGGAGCTTGGTGGGTCTCAGGGGAAGGTGCTCCAAGGTGGAGTCAGGACGGGGAAACCTATTTGCTCCTCAATCCCCTACAGAGGCTGGGAATCAGGCTCTGCTCCAGGGGATGTGTAGGACCAGGACGGGAGGCTGAGGCCATAGGATGGATTAAAATCTGTGCATCTCTTATCATCTTCAGCAGGGAGCTCGGGCTTCCTCTGTGACATAACCCGACAGCATCTGCCATCACCACCACCAGGAACAATAGCATCCGCCTAGTCCAAGTCTATAATGCAGCGGCTCACTCTCTACCCCACCCCCCAAGCAAAAGCCCATCTGCTGACAGGCACTGTCCCAGACACCAGGGCTCCCCTCCAGGTCTCCAGCTCCCTGGTGACAAGACTGACAGACAAAACTAATGGAATCTGGTACCTAGAAGAGGATGAGAAGGATCCCCATGAACCCTAGAGAAGACAAGGGGATGTGACCGGGCAGACCCTCAGGAGGCACAAGACACAGATTCAACTGGCATCCAAAGGGGACAGCCAGCAATTTTTATTTATTATTATTTTTTTTTAGTTTATGTTTGTTTGTGATTGTAACATTTTCTTTTGGACATCAAACACTGCACCCAAATATGAGCCATTCATCTTAAGACAACTGCTTTTGTCCTAAGAATCCTGTTCTGATGTTTACAATTAACTCTGGACAACTTAAAACTTATTAGTGGCACTGCTGTCTAATAATCAAATATTTCATTATAGGCCAAATGCAATTATTAAACGAAAAGAGCAAATTTCCCCCCCACCCCCTTTCTTACCTTCAAACCAAACCAAAAAGGTAGTTTTCACATGGAAAGAGCACCTACTTCAGGGAGACTGAATTTTTAACCAGTTATATTTTTATTTAATTTAATTAATTAATTTATTTATTTATTTTTGAGATAGTGTCTAGCTCTGTTACCCAGGCTGGAATGCAGTGGCGTGATCTCGGCTCACTGCAACCTCCGCCTCCCCGGTTCAAGCGATTCTCATGCCTCAGCCTCCCCAGTAGCTGGGACTACAGGTGCCCACCACCACACCTGGCTAGTTTTTATATTTTTAGTAGAGATGGGGTTTCACCATGTTGGCCAGGCTGCTCTGGAACTCCTGGCCACGGCCTCCCAAAGTGCTGGGATTACAGGCATGAGCCACTGTGCCTGGCTGTTAACTAGTTTTATTAAACCCTACAAGCTCTAAAACATGAGACAAGGCTTTCCAGAGTAAATGGGATGATAAAAAGGTAAAATTCCCTGGAAGTCTGTTTTCACCAACTTGCAAAAAGTGAAAGAGCTGATTTCTTTCTGTTTATTCTTTAAAAGGTTCAGCCTGCACCTTCAGTACACACTGTGGAAGGACAGCCCCATAGTCACAGGGGCTGTTCAGGGACAGCGCTTCCCAGTCATCCAATCCACAGCCAGGAATCTCGACAAGCAGCAAAAGAAAAGTCACTCATCACCTACGAGACAGGATCCGTGAGAGACACAGCCAACTTCTCACCAGAAACCATGAGCGTCTGAACACACGGAGGGCACGTTCAGAGTGCAGAAGAGAAAGGGAACTAGGCTGGGCAAGCTGATGGCAGGGTGGTCCAGGAACGGGCTGGGACTCCCAGCCCCCATCTGTTCTCAGGGACAAGTCCTGGCTGAGATCCACGCAGCTCAGGAAGGTGGCGACCCCAGGCCATGGGCCTTGCTGAGGATGCCTGGAAATCTTCATCAGCCCGGCTGGCTCAGGTGGAGATGGAGGCTCCAGGACAATGTGGGATGGGAGGAGGGTGAGTAAATACCAGGCCTGGTCCTGCACCTCTCCCTGGCCTCCAGCCTGCAGCCCACCCTATAACCCTTCCTCAGCAGGGCTGACAATGGACGGGGGCATGGATGTCCCAGGTGCTGTCAGAGAAGAGGGTGAGCCAGCTGTGTCCTGAGTGCCTGTGACAGGTCCCAGTGGCAGGAACTTCAGGTAGGGAGGAAGAGATCCCACACAGTCCTTTCACCATGGCAGGGCAGGTGTGTGACACGGACGGGTTCCCGTGCGCAGCGTGGAGGGGAGTGCGCGCTGGGTATAGGACAATGGGCGTGGCAGGTGAGGGGAGGCACAGGTGGGTGGGTGTGACAGGCAAACAACCACCACTGCTGAGCACCTCCCTACAAAGTGCCAGGGGGGCCAGGTCTACCAGTCCTGAGGGTCCACAGGGGGCCTGGAATCCCTGGGAAATCCTTGGGCCCTGTGCCCTCCTGGCAGCCCTGTGACACATGCCCCAGGCCTGGAAGGGTGGCCCAGCAATGCCCTCAGGGTCGGAGAAGTGGGTGGAAGGACAGGAGCTGCGTCTACCCTCCTCCTGAGTTTCCTGTGCTCTCCAGGATCCCAGGCCATCCTGGGGTATCCGGCCAGGGACTGGAGACCTGGGGAGGGCCTGGGCCTGAGACAGGTGAGTTTCTTCTGCCACCTCAGGCCTCAGCGCCCCTCCCATCTTTGAGCCCCCACCCAGGCTGGCTCCCAGAATCCCCCACCGTTCCCATGAAATGTGTGCACATGCCCCTCTCCCAGGTCCCCACCAGTCTCTAGGGTGCACGCCTACCACGGGGGGAGTGGGAGCAAAGCCTCCAGAGCTGGGCTGGGTGGAGGCTTCAGGTGGCCCTGGTGCTCCCCACTCTCCCAGACCTGTTCTTGATCCCCACCCCAAGGCTCTCCTGGGCCCCATAGGCTGAGGCTACTCCTAACCCTACAGCCAGCAACGCCCTCACCCCTCCCGAGTGCGGCACTGGAAGTCCCTGCTGGCCTCCTGGCTAGGTGAGGGCTGCCAGACATGGAGGAGACAGGACCCCATGATCGGAAAGGGACTTCTCTCGGCCTCTGCTCATGGAGCTGGAGACCAGCCTCAGGGTGGGGCTGGGTGGGAGGGTGAGCACAGCTGCACCCCACCCCGCTCACCCCAAACCCCAGTCACCCTCTGACCCACACTGCTCTCCACGCTTCTGCCCAGCCTTGCCCAGGTCCCATATATCCTGCCCAGTGGCCCCTCCCCACCCACCCCCCAGAGCAGGTCCACTTGGGGTTGTCATGGTACCTGCAGCTCCGCAAGCTGACATCTGTGCTTCCCATCTCAGCAGGGGCAGGGAGCCCGGATGAAGAAAGAATAAGGGCAGAGGACACCCCATGCCTAAGACCCACCCACCCCGGGACCCTTCCAGAGGCCATCATAAGGCCCACACACACACAGACACACACACAATTACAGCCCACAGTCTGGTCATTTGCAGGAGGTGAACCTTCTCCATTTGAGGGTCAGGCCTCAGTGGGGTCACTGAGAACCCACCAAATCCTCCCACATCACCTGGCTTCAGGGCAGCCCGCCTGCCAGGAAGGGCGGGGAGAACCCCGGACTCTGTTGGTCTCGCTCCAGTTCAATCCCTCTCTCCCTCTCTCTCCCTGCCGCTTATCCTGTCTCCGTATCTTTCCCCCTCGTTCTCGGAGACAGCCTCCCTCTCATACAACAGGTCTCTTTCCCACTCCACCTCCCACCATGTCTCCCAATGTCTCTCATTCATTTTCTGAAATACTCAATCCCTTTCACACATGACTTTCTCCATCTCTCTCATTGATACACACACTCTCCCCCCATCCCTGCCTCTCTCTCTCTCTCTCTCTCACATACACACACACACACACACACAGAGGCAGACTCAGCCCTTCAGGGTCTATGCCCTGAGCTAAGCCCCGCTGAGAGGCAGGCTTGTCTGGGGATTGCAGGGAGCACTCATGCCCACATGGGATGTGCCCGTGTGGACAGCGCTTGGCCCTGTATGTACCCACTGTGGATCCTTCACTGGGCAACCAGGCTGGGCTTGGACCAGTGCAGGTGGAACTAAGCCAAGACTCTGAAGGCCAGGGCAGGGTCAGCTCCAGCCTCAGCATTCACCCTAAACCAGGCGCTGTAGAAAGGAGCATGAGCCACTAGGCGGGCCCAGGCTGGAGAGCTCACCGCCTAGCAGGGATGGATGGCAGGAGACTTGCCACTCAGACCAGGGAAGGATGACAGGGACCCCAGGCACAGGCGCAGGTGTCAGCAGAGACCACACCACTGGGGGTCCCCTAGAGCAGGTGGGGGGTGGCACCCAGGGTTGGAGGGTCACAGGCCACTGGCATGGCTTAGCCCGGTTCTCACAGGGCATCCTCCATCTCTATAACCATGGAGTCAATGTCACCACTGGGCATGAAATGGAGACGCTGCTGTTGGCAAATGAGCTTGGAGAGCCGGGGCCAAGACTTGTGGGTGTCAAGTGAGGTGTCACAACTGGGGCCTGACTTCACAGTGGCCGAGACGAGAAGGCTGAGGAGGAGGAAACCCGGGAGAGAGTGGCTCCGGCGGAGGGAACTGCAGTGCACACCTCCGGGGGAGGAAGTGGAGCGGCAGCCACCAGCCCTGGCAACGCGGGGCCCAGGGACCCAGAGAGAAAGGCAGAGTGTGGCCTAGTGAGGCCACTGCCCTTCGCTTGGCTGTCACCTTTGACAAAGCGGGTTCCTTGGGTGGGGTTGGGGGGACTCCAAGCTGTTATGACTCAGGCCAGCTGGCAGGAGCGTGCATGGTGACCGGGATGGAGCAGGGTTCACTGAGGCAACCGCATGGATGTAAGAGCAGGGTCCACCATGGCACACGCAGAGAAAGGGGAGGAGAAGGACTGGGTTGGCAACAAGGAGAAACCCGGCTCAAAGCAGGTTTGAGGGAGAAAGCGGAGAGGACGGTTCAGAGAACAGCTTTGCAACTGACCAGTTCAAAGGGAAAGCAGCCCAGGTCAAGCGCAGTAGCTCACGCCTGTAATCCCAACACTCTGGGAGGCCAAGGTGGGCTCGCTTGAGGCCAGGAGCTTGAGACCAACCTGGCCAACATGCTGAAACCCTGTCTCGACTAAAAATACAAAAAGTAAGGCTGGGCACGGGGACTCATGCCTATAATCCCAGAACTTTGGGAGGTCGAGGTGGATGGCTCGCTTGAGGCCAGGAGTTCCAGACCAGTCTGGCCAACATGGTGAAATCCTGACTCTACTAAAAGTACAAAAACTAGCCAGGCATGGTGGCGCATGCTTGTAATTCCAGCTACCTGGGAGGCTGAGGCAGGAGAATTGCTGAATGTGGGAGGCGGAGGTTGCAGTGAGCCAGGATCATGGCACTGCACTGCAGCCTGGGTGACACAGCAAGACTGTCTTAAAAAAAAAAAAAAAATAGCTGGGCGTCATGGTGCACACCTGTAGTCCCAGCTACTCAGGAGGCTGAGACATGAGAATTACTTGGGACAATTAATTGGGAGGCAGAGGTTGCAATAGGCCCAGATCGTGCCAATGCACTCCAGCCTGGGTGACAGTGCAACACTCCGTCTAAAAAATAAAATAAATATATAAATTTTAAAAAGCAGCTCAGCTCGCAGGGAAGAGACAGCCAGCATCGGAGCCTCCATATCTTGACTTTACTCTCTAGCCCCACTGGGATTACCTCCTCCAGGAAGTGGCCCCTGGTCCCGCTGAAAGCCCCACTCTGAGATGCAGCACTGTCCACGCTATGGAAGTCCCTGGTGAAGGATCCCTGACCGTCCCTGTACTTGCCGGCTCAGTCCACCAGGAGGCGCCCGCGCCATGCCTCGGCCCTGCTGGACTCTGGGGCCGCCACTTCCCTGCGGGCGCCTCCTGGTGTTCCCTTGGGCTCGGCCTGTACAGCCCAGCTGGTTCCGGGCGCCTGGCCCAGCCCCGCGGGTGATTCACTGGCCTCGCACCTGAAGGTGGGGGAGGAAGGAGAGAGCAGCAGCCAAGAGGCGGGTCCAGGCTCTCCCAGAAGCCAGCGACTTCAGTCCAAACGTCCCCTGAACCCGCAGAGATTCCACATCAGGACCAGGCTCCCCCAGGTCCAGACCCCACATTCCCGTCAGTGTGTCCCAGGGAGCACGGAGGGACCGCCACACTGCATTTCATGGGGCGACTGCCCTCAACACCCCTACACACACAGAACCCCACACTACCCTAAAGTCTGAAAGGCGGACACGCAATCGAGGTTTTAGAGGAATTTATACAAAAGTCCTGAAACCACAAGGTTCTTACCACCTGAAAACCAGCTCCACGACAGACAAATTAGACACTTGTGAGTTTGCTGGAATTTGCTTTAAAAATAACAAGGCTGGTCCAAGATCTTAGAAGAAAATTATATTCTTTTAAAGAAAATGAAAATATCCTCAAGGGAAAAACTTAATTTAAGTCAAATCCTGTCCTTTTGTCTTGGAACCCCGTGCCCCGCGCGCAAACACAGGCTTTCCTGCAGCGCGGCCAGGGCGCCCCCGTCGTCGCTCCTGAGCGATACCCGGGGCTGCAGCCGCACGGGGTATTTTCCCGGGCTGAGCAGGGGAGTGGGGGGTGGGGGGCGCCAAGCTAGGAGCCCTGAAAGAAGGAGCAGGGCAGCAAGTGGGGCCGCAAACACCCATCAAAGTCCCCAGGACCAATTCCCACAGTGACCACGTGGCCACAGGCAGTGCCCTTTGCAGGCCCGCTCCCCAAGGGTGTCATTCCTCACCCCCTCCCGGGACCCCACCTAAGCCAGGCACCCTCCCACCCACCAGCAAGCACTGCGCTAGGAGACGCAGGAACACCCATGTCCCTGCCAGCCCCGCCTTCCAGACCACACCCTGCGTGGGAGCGCCCTTTGCGGGGGGGTGGGGGTGGGGTGGGGGGGGTGTCCCCAGGTCCCTGAACAACGGACAGCAGCTCCCGCCCAGGAATGCAGCCGCGTCACCTCGCGCCCCTGACCAGGGCTGGGGCCCTCTCCAGCCTGGTGACCCACGGCCTACTCTGAGGCTGCAGGGCGCAGGGGGCCTCCAAGTGGAAAGCTGGTGATGGGGTGGGTGGGAGGCAGGGCCCGCAGGGAAGTGACTTGAGCAGGCACAGACGGTGAATAAATAGAAGCTTCCACGCGGGGGTCCGGCCCCTGCAGACAGCAGCTCGGTGGGAAAGTGGGATTAGAGGGAGCTCCCCCGACACTGACCGGGGCCACCCACGCAGACCCTCCCTCCACACCCACACCCACCCCGGCCCTGGGACGGGTTTTCCCCTGCTCAGAGCTCAGTGACGTGCACAGTGGGTGAGGGAACAGGCCCAGGTTGGAGGCGCCGCAGGTGGCAACGACGACACAGCAGGTGGCCCGCCAGGGGGTAGCAGCGGCGTCCCTCCTCCCCGCTCAGCTGCAGCCCGCAGTCCTAGGGAAGAACACAGCCCCCCAGCCCCAGAGTCAGCAGACAAGCGCACATCATAAGTCATGAGGCGGGACAGGGAGAACCGAAGGGCGGGGCAGAGCCGCAGGGGATCGCATAACAACATAAAGACTCTTCCGCCCGGCACAGGCGCTCACACCTGCAATCCCAGCACTTTGGGAGGCTGAGGCGGCTGGATCACCGCCTCGGTCGGAGTTCGAGACCAGCCTAGCCAACATGGTGAAACCCTGTCTCTACTAAAAATACAAAATTAGCCGAGCATAGTGGCACATGCCTGTAATCCCAGCTACTTGGGAGGCTGAGGCTGAAGAATCGCTTGAACCCGGGAGGTGGAGGTTGCAGAGAGCAGAGGGCCTGACATTGCATTCCAGCCTGAGTGACAACAGCAAAACTGTCTCAAAAAAAAAAAAAAAAGACTCTTCTTCTGCCAGAGGCGGGATAGGAAGCCCGGTGTGGAGCACTGGGGACTGGAGCTGCCTCTCAGGCATCCAAGAGGAAGTCACTGGATATAAGTCAGACTATGGGGAGAGGACTAGGCAGTCAACGTGGGTGTCAGCATAAAAACCTGATGGTTTGGGTGTGTTTTGTTTATTCGTTTGTTGTTTATTGTTTGTTTGAGACAGGGTCTCTCACTGTCGCCCAGGCTGGAATGCAGTGTCTGGATCCCAGCTCACTGCAGCCTCGAGCTCCAGGGCTCAAGTGATCCTCCCACCTCAGCCTCCTGAGTAGCTGGGACCACCGGCGCACCCCGCCACACCCTATGAATTTTGCTTATTTTTTGTAGTGATGGGGTTTCACATTGCTCAAGCTGGTCTAGAACTCCTGACCTCAAGCTATCCTTCGCCTCAGCCTCCCAAAATGCTGGGATTACAGGCATGAGCCACTGTGCCTGGCCTGTTTTTTATTAGACAAGGTCTCACTCTGTCACCTAGGCTGGAGTGCAGTGGTGCGATCTCAGCTCACTGCAGCCTCAAACTTCTGGGCTCAAGCAATCCTCCCACCTCAGCCTCCCAAGTAGCTGGGACTACAGACACGTGCCACCATGCCCGGATAATTTTTGTCCCTTCTATTTTGTAGAGATGGCATCTTGCCATGCTGATCTGGCTGATCTTGAACCCTTGGCTTCATAACCATCCTCCCACCTCAGCCTCCCAAAGTGCTGGGATTGCAGGTGTGAGCCACTGCGCCCAGCCAAACGTGATGGTTTTTAAATACAAAACAGCAGACCACCTCTTCCAGGGAGTGCAGACCACTGGAAAAGAGAAGAGGGCAAGCAGCAGAACCTTCCATGAGGAGGTAGGAAGAGAAGAGGCCTGGGCTGGGGAGATTCCAGGAGAAACGAAAGTGAAGAAAACCAAAACCCGGCAGCCCCAAGGGCAAAGTGAAGCAAGTGCAGGGAGAGGAGGGAGCGGCCCTGTGCTCCAAGCTGCTGGGGGGCCTGGAAGGAAGTGTCCACCAGTTCCCGCCACACAGAGGTCCCTGGAGCAGAGCGGAGGGAGGAATGCCACCCCCAGGTGGTCTGAAGAGGCAGTGGTGAGTAGACCTGGAGACACCAGGGGAAGCAGGGGGCTGGCTTCACGTCCCTTATCTCACTGTTTTTACCTTTGCGAGCTTGGGGCTGGAATGCTGGCAGCTTTGCCCCGTTATCCAGAGCCCCTGACACCACCACCTGGCCCGCCCTGCGTGGGGAAGGGAGCTGGACTGCCACAGTGGCACCACCCCACTCCTTTCCCTGGTCTCTCGCCTGTCCTACCACAGGCCACCGGCTGGGCCTTGCACACCAGGCCAGGGAGGAGTGCGGGGTCCCAGAGGTATCAATCCCCATCCAGCAGCCTCATCGCAGCACAGCAGCACCACCAGCCGCCTGCCCTGCTCTGACTCTCAGGGTGGACCTTTGGCTGTGCTCGGTACTGGACAATCCCCAGGCAGCACAGTCCACAGGACAGCCCAGCAGGTAGAGGGATGCGGAGGTCCTGTTAGTGCTGGAGGGGAGCCCTGGCCCCTCTGCAGACTATCTGTTCCTCGTCCTCCCTCCCGGGTCCCCTGGCACGATCAGTGCTCCCATGGGGCCACTCGCCTGCACCCAGGAGACCTTGTCACCCAAGGGGATCCCTGATTGCTACTGCAGATTCCCGCTGCCACTTGCTCTGCTCTTGCTGGGGCCTGGTCGCCGGCAGCCTCCTGGTTCTCCTGCCCAGGCCTCCTCGGCCTTCCTCTGTGGCCACTTCGCCTGTGTGTGTCCTTAAGTGGTGGTGCTCCTTGAGCTATCCTGACCCCCACTCCTTCTTTTCCAACTCACCCTGGAAGACCCCATATGCTCCCTGGCTTCAGCTGCCGTCCCTGCGTCCATCACGGGACCCTTGCTTCCCGCCAGAACAGAGGAACAGAAATTGGATTTCCCCTCCCACCTTCAACAACGAGAACAACAGGCTAAAGAGATGACAGTGACTCTCAGACCCCGGACAACAGACCAGGGAGGCCCATCATCTCTCAGAGAGGGGAAACCCAGCAGGTACACCCCACACCGCCCGACTGACCGCCTGGAGACTGCTCCGGCTGCCCAGGGGAGCCCCGTGGTCTCCTTGAGTTGAGAATCTGGGGAGGCCAAGGCAACTGGAATTCCCAGGGCCAGGATTCAGAGAAGAAGGTCTGGGGCGGTGGCTCGCGCCTGTAATCCCAGCACTTTGGGAGGCCGAGGTGGGTGGATCGCTTGAAGTCAGGAGCTTGAAACCAGCCAGCACAGCCAACACGGTAAAACCCTGACTCTACTAAAAACACAAAAACTAGCCGGGCGCGGTGGCGGGCGCCTGTAGTCCCAACTACTCGGGAGGGTGAGGCAGGAGAATTGCTTGAACCCAGGAGGCAGAGCTTGCAGTGAGCTGAGATGGCGCCACTGCACTCCAGCCTGGGCAACAGAGTGAGACTCATTTCAAAAAAAAAGAAAAAGATTCAGAGGAGAGAGAGCGCCACACATCAGTGACCCCAAATTCCCACAGCTGTCTGCAGGGTCGTTGAACCCCCGCCCACTTACAGGTCTACTGGACATCTCCAGCTACCAAAAATGAGAGCGTCTCATCCCCTCTTCCCCCGCCCTCACTCTTTGCCGGGGTTCTCATGAATACCTCCCAATCCCCAACCCTCAACCCCCCACATCCAGACACTCACCAAATCCAGTCCTTTCTATGGCCTGACCATCACTTCCCTGAACCCCGGCCCCCAACCCTGACCCCTCCAGCTGCTCAGGGAGCACCTACCTTCACTCCCTCCCCCAATTCACTCTCTGCAGGGCAGGAAACGGATAGATAGAATGGGGTAGACGCCATAAAATAGGTGAGGCCATCGCGGTGGCTCACGTTGTGGTCCCAGCACTTCGGGAGGCCAAGGCAGGTGGATCGCTTGAGCCCAGGAGTTTACCCCATCTCTAACTGAAAATAACAAAATTAGCTGAATGTGATGGCGCAAGCCTGTGGTGGTAACCACTCAGGAGGCTGAGGTAAGAAGATAGCTTGAGCCCAGGAGGTTGAGGCTCCAGTCTGGGCAACAGAGTGAGATCTTGTTTCCAATATATATAAACAAAAAAAAAATTTTTTTTTTGACACAGAGTCTCACTCTTGTTGCCCCAGCTGGAGTGCAATGGCATGATCTTGGCTCACTGCAACCTCTGCCTCCTGGGTTCAAGTGATTCTCCTACCTCAGCCTCCCGAGTAGCTGGGATTACAGGCGCCTGCCACCACGCCTGGCTAATTTTTGTATTTTTAGTAGAGACAGGGTTTCACCATGTTGGCCGGGCTGGTCTCAAACTCCTGATCTCAGTTGATCCGCCCACCTCGGCCTCCCAAAGTGCTGGGATTATAGGTGTGAACCACCACACCCGGCAAAACTAAAATTTTGATAAGGTGAGCCCACAGAACACCCGGAGAGGAGAGCCGCGTGGAAGGAGGCCCACCCCAGCTGCCAGCCTCCTGGGGGCCCAGGCTCACCTCACAGTGGTAACATGCCACGTGGTAGTCTCTGTCCATGGACACCACACGGATGGTTGTCTCACAGCCCTGGAGGAAGAGACAGAGTTCACACATGATGAGCATGCGGGGACTGGAGGCAAAATGCAGGAGTGTACACTTCCACATACCATGCTCCTGTCCCAGCTGAGGTGCATGCCCGCCCCAGAGAGCACAGCCACGATGCTTCTGTGGGGCGGGACAGGCACCAGCAGGTGCATACACACAGACACACATGGGCCTCAGGCATCCTCTGTGGCCACAGCCCGCAGCACACACAAAGGCCCACAAGAGGGTCATGTGGGTGTCAATGGATGTGGACATTATTTTCACCTCATTGCTTCTTTTTTTCTTTTTTCTGAGACGGAGTCTGGCTCTGTCGCCCAGGCTGGAGTGCAGTGGCTGGATCTCAGCTCACTGCAAGCTCCGCCTCCCGGGTTTGCGCCATTCTCCTGCCTCAGCCTCCCGAGTAGCTGGGACTACAGGCGCCCCCACCTCGCCGGCTATTTTTTTTTTTTTAGTAGACAGGGTTCACGTGTTAGCCAGGATGGTCTCGATCTCCTGACCTCGTGATCCGCCCGTCTCGGCCTCCCAAAGTGCTGGGATTACAGGCTTGAGCCACCCGCCCGGCCTCTTTTTTCTTTTTTTTTAATTGAGACAGTCTTGCTTTGTTGCCCAGGCTAGAGTGCAGTGGCGCGATCTTGGCTCACTGCCAGTTCTACCTCCCAGGTTCACGCCATTCTCCTGCCTCAGCCTCCCGAGTAGCTGGGACTATAGGCACCCGTCACCACACCTGGCTAATTTTTTCTATTTTTAGTACAGGCGAGGTTTCACTGTGTTAGCCAGGATGATCTCGATCTCCTGACTTCGTGATCCACCCACCTCAGCCTCCCAAAATGCTGGGATTACAGGCGTGAGCCACCGCGCCCAGTCTTTTTTTTTTTTTTTTTTTTTTTTTTCAGGGATAGAGTCTCTCTCTGTTGCCCATGCTGGAGTGCAGTGGTGCAATGACGGCTCACTGCGGCCTCAAACTCCTGGGCTCAAGCAATCCTCCTGCCTTAGCCTCCCAAGTAGCTGGGACTACAGGCAGGCACAACCATACCCAGCTAATTTGTTATTTCTTTGTAGAGATGGGGTCTCACTAGGCGGCCCAGGCTGGTCTCAAACTCCTGGCTTCAAGCAATCATCCCACCTCGCCCTCCCAAAGTGCTGGATTACAGGCGTGGGCTGCTATGCCTGGCCTGTTTTCACTTCCTTGGAGTCTCAAAAGGGCACTGCCAGTCCTGCTTCGCCAGGCACACCAGCCTGGGACAGAGCCAGCACTGTGGGAAGACCCCAGGCCAGAAGAGCTGCAGCACCCACGGGGGGCTCCCACACAGACCACGTCCATCTCTCATCTGCTCCCCCAGCACCCCCACCTCAGCCTGCAGAGCTGAGAAGACCCAGGGAACAGCCCTTCCGTCAATGGAGAGTGGAGCGGAGGCTGGCAGTGGGGCAGCCAAGCAGCAGGGCCCACCACCTTCCTCCACCTCGTGCGAGGAGACAGCTGTACCCTACATGCACAAGCACGACACACACCCCTCAGTCCTGAAGGACCTGCAGAGAAGCACCTGCTCATCCCTCCCACTGTGGCCCAAGACCTGGGCTAGACCCAGGCTGGACAGGGCAGCAGCCGGCTGGGCCAGGCACCTGATCATCTCTGGGTGAGTGGCTCCTACCTGTGCAGGGAGGATAGGACGGGCACAGGAGGCGCATTTTGGTGCAAAAACCCTAGAGAGATAAAGGAAACCAGAAGTGATCAGCTGAGTGACCAGAGGCCAAGGGCACAAGGACAGGGGCACCCACAGGAATCCCCTGATGTGGCCCAAGAGGCCGTCTCTCCCTGTGAGCACACCTCGGGGCAGACAAGGAACAGCTTCTGCCGCGCCTTCCCGTACTGGCCTCTTCATTTTTTTTTTTTTAAACAGAAATGGGGTCTCGCTATATTGCCCAGGCTGGTCTCAAACTCCTGGGTTGAAGCAATCCAGGATTGCTTGGCCTCCCAAAGTGCTGGGATTACAGGCATGAGCCACCACGCCCGGTCCTGGCCTCTTATCTGACTGCCCATTTCATCTCCACCCAATCACCTCCTCCAGGATGGCTTCAGGTTCTGCTCTGCCATCCACCCCCATGTTTCCTGTGAGTTCCCTTCTCCTTAATGTCCAGGTCTGGGGCACCGCTAGCTAGGACCACTGTGAGACCCGGCTTCACTCTGAGTACCAGGGACCTCTGCCCAGGACTCCAATCCCATGCAAGGCCCTGCTCAGAACCAGAGCTCCCAGGAATAAACCTGGAGTCACAGTAGGAGGAAACAGATCGGGGATCAGACAGGCAGGAGGAGGGGGCTGCAGAGACCCCAATCCCCTGCCCCAGCCGGAAGAGGCCTGGCCTGGCAGGGGATGGAGGGGAGGAGCGGGAGAGACGGTAGATACTGCAGCCAGGAGGGTCCCCTGTGCCAGGAGTAGAGAAGCACACAGGCTACGACAGGGAGAGAAGAGGGAAGGAAAAGACAGCTGGTGGCCGGACCACCGGGAGAGGGGATGCAGGCAGAGACGGGAGAGGGGGTGCAGGCAGAGACGGGAGAGGGGGTGCAGGCAGAGACGGGAGAGGGGGTGCAGGCAGAGACGGGAGAGGGGGTGCAGGCAGAGACGGGAGAGGGGGTGCAGGCAGAGACGGGAGAGGGGGTGCAGGCAGAGACGGGAGAGGGGATGCAGGCAGAGGCACATGCCTTACCCAAGCCTGGGTGCACAAGGGGAGGCAGAAGGCAAAAGGCCAAGAATGAAGGGCAGTCAGTCTGGTGGGAAAAATGCTTCCAGGGGAGCCAGAGAGGACAGCCCGAGTCCCCCCTGCGCCACAGTGCCAGCCACTCACGTGTGATAGTCTCGCACGCAGTAGATGTTGTTCTCCACGTCCACGGTGAAGGGAACCCCGTCCAGGCATTCATTGCACACGGAGCACCGGAAGCAGCCTGGGTGGTAGGACTTGCCCAGGGCCTGCAGGATCTGTGGGCGGGGCAGAGGGGTCAGCGCGGGCAGGAGGCTCAGCGCCGCCCTGGGAGAGGCTCTGGCTCTGAACCCCTGGCAGGTCTGGAGCAGGGGAGAAGGTGGGGTCCTTAGATTCCACCCATGTCAGAAGGGCTCCAGGAGGCTGGGGCAGGGGCTCACCATCTCCATGATGAGATGTCCACACACGCTGCACTTGTCGGCCGTCTGCTGGAACCCGGAGTACTGGGAGGGGACACAGGATCCAGGACACGTTGTGTGACAAAGGGGCACTCGCGGCCCAGTTAACACCTGCCTCCTGGCCTCAGGTCTCCACTCGAGTCAGAATGAGGATCGCTGCCCCAGTTCCCACCCCTGGCACCGCCGGGGCACAGCTTGGACTCACCAGGAAGTCCTCCTGGCAGTACACTTTCTCGCCCACGTTGTAGAACGCCTTCCCACGGAGTCGTCTCCCTGCAAGGACAAGGGTTGAGAGGGGTCCCTGGAATGCTGGAGACCAGGGATGGAGCTGCGCTTCCAGCTCTCAGCACCCTCCTCCAACAGATGAGACACTGGGTTATGGGTGGTTTTCTAGGTTGTTGTTGTTATAATAACAAAATTTCAGAAAAAAATTAAAGAGAACATACTGTCGATAGAATTACTGCAAAAGGTTGCCAAACCAAATATATGAAGAAATATTTTACTAATGTAAATACATGTGTTGGTTAATAAACACATTCACTTTAAGATCAGTTGAACTCAGAGCAAATTTTCGAGAATGAATCTTTTTTTTTTTTTTTTGAGACAGAGTCTCACTGTGTTGCCCAGGCTGGAGTGCAGTGGCACGATCTTGGCTCACTGCAGCCTCCGCCTCCTGGGTTCAAGCGATTCTCCTGACTCAGTCTCCCAAGTAGCTGGGACTACAGGGGCCCACCACCACGCCCGGCTAATTTTTTTTTTTTTTTTTTTTTTTTTTTTAGTAGAGACGGGGTTTCACGGTGTTATCCAGGATGGTCTCCATCTCCTGACCTCGTGATCCACCCGCCTCTGCCTCCCAAAGTGCTGGATTACAGGCGTGTGCCACCACGCCCGGCCTATCCAATGCATTTTTATATTCTAGCAACAAACAATTGGAAAATAAACTCACAAGTTGTTTTTTTTTTGTTTTTTTTTTTTTTGAGATAAGGTCTCACCGTCACCTGGGGGCTGGAGTGCAGTGGTGCAGTCATAGTTCACTGCAGCTCTGACCTCCAGGACTCAAGGCATCCACCCATCTCAGTTCCCTGACTAGCTGGGACTATAGGCACACACTACCATACCCAGCTACTTTTTCTTTTCTTTTACTTTTTTCTTTTTCTTTTTTTTTTTTTTTGCTATGGAGTTTAGCTCTTGTTGCCCAGGAGAGGTGGCTCACACCTGTAATCCCAGCACTGTGGGAGGCCGAGGCAGGCGGATCACGAGGTCAGGAAAGAGAGACCATCCTGGCCAACATGTGAAATCCCGTCTCACTAAAAAAATACAAAAATTAGCTGGGAGTGGTGGCGCGTGCCTGTAATCCTAGCTACTCGGGAGGCTGAGGCAGGAGAATCGCTTGAACCAGGGAGACGGAGGTTGCAGTGAGCTGAGATTACACCACTACACTCCAGCCTGGCAACAGAGTGAGACTCTGTCTCAAAAAAAAAAAAAGAAAAGAAAAAAAAAAAGTTATAAAACGTGCAAATAAATAAAAGATGTCTGATTAAGGCAAGGTCTGGAAGAACAGTGGGCAAATCAAGAGTGGAGATTTCTTAGGGTGGTTAGATTATAGTTCCTTTTTTTCTTTTTGTAACTTTGTCTAGGTTAAACTATAACACTTAGAGTTTATGTTGGGTGTAAAATTGTGGCCAAAAATAAATTATAGGCCAGGCGCAGTGGCTCACACCTGTATGCCCGGCACTTTGAGAAGCTGAAGTAGGCGGATCACTTGAGCTCAAGAGTTTGAGACCAGCCTGGTCAACGTGGTAAAACCCCATCTCTACTTAAAAATACAAAAAAAAAAAAAATTAGCCGAGCATGGTGGCACATGTGCCTGTAATCCCAGCTACTCGGGAGGCTGAGGCAGGAAAATCTCTTGAACCCGGGAGGCAGGAGCTGCCGTGAGCCGAGATCACTCCACTGCATTCCAGCCAGGGCAACAGAGTAAGACTCTGTCTCAACAACAACAACAAAAATAGATTGCAGGAAAAAGAAATATTAGTCGTATGTCCAGACAGGCAGAAGGTCCTTCATGGGATTCTGATGCTGCTTCCAGGCAGCTGGGTGACATCAGTGCCCTGTGTGGCACAGAGGCTCCACAGCTGACGACCGGGGGCAGCCCTGTCCTACCGCCAGCGAAAGGCTCCTCAGTGGTCCCACACCTCCTCCCCAGACAGAGTCCTCCACAGCCCCGCCTGGGCCAGAGGCGGCTGGTCCATCTGCCTGGACTCAGGTGCAAGGGGGTTTGAGGGGAATGGGGGTGACGTGGCGGGTCCCCTTCACAGAGCTACCCGGGGCACGAGGTTACCTACCACACGAGTCGCAGGTGAAGCAGTCGGTGTGATAAAGACTCCCCATTGCCTGGCACGCCTGCTGGGCTCCGTAGATGCCAAGCCCACACTTGATGCAAATGCCTAGGAGAGGAGAGGCAGGAGAGAGCAAGAATTAGCGCAACAGCCTATACCACCCAATGGACACCAGGGGTTAGCGCCACAGCCTACACCACACCAACGGACTCCCTGTCTTGACACCGCCCACCCGCCTGACCTTGGGGATGCTAACTTTCCTAGGCTAACATCACTCGATTACTGATGACTGACATGGGCACCATCAGAGTGGCCACGACCCAGGGATTGCCGCTGCTGCTGTCTGAGGATTCAAGGGCTTGGCCAAGCACCTAGTGCAGAGTCGGAGCTAATCAAAACTGTCCATCACAACTGTTCTAATAGATTCTTTTGGTTTTTGATTTATAAATAGGGACAGAGTCTCACTATGTTGCCCAGGCTGGTCTCAAACTCCTGGGTTAAAGCGATCCTCCTGCCTTGGCCTCCAAACGTGCTGGGATTACAGGCATGAACCACTGCACCCAAACAGTTTTAGGCCTTTTAAATTTTTTGGCGGGGGAGGGAGACAGGAGTTCGCTCTGTCCAACAGGCTGGAGTGCAGTGGTGCAATCACAGCTCACTGCAGCCTCAACCTCCTAGGCTCAAGCAGTCCTCCGGCCTCAGCCTCCCAAGTAGGTGGGACTTCCAGCACATGCCATCACACACGGCTAATTTTCTTTTTCTTTTGTGGAGACAGGGTCTTGCTATGTTGCCCAGTTGCCCAGGGTGCGCTCAAGCAATTCCTGGGCTCAAGTGATCCTCCTGCCTGGACTTCCCAAAGTGCTGCAATTACAAGCGTGGGCCACCACACCCAGCCTATCATGGTATCTTTATACCTAGACAGTTGTTAGCTCTTTCACCTATGGCCTGCTCTTGGACTGAGGGAGAATCCTTCCTACTGTTTGTGAACCAAATCCTGTTCTTCAACATGTTTTGTGACCCAGACACAATAATGAAGACCACACGGGCACTCCGGGGCAGTCACCACCCCTCTGCAGCCACTCTCTCCTCCTCTGTACCCCACGGTCCACTTATTCTCTTGGTCAGTCAGCACACAGATGAGTCACATGCCCCTAAGGTCAGGCACCACTCAGTCTGCAAGGCACCCGGTCCCTACCCTCAAGAATCCTGCATCGAGTGGAGGAGGGCAAATAACATCAGGCAGAGACGAGTGCTACAGCAAAAAATAAGGCTGATCAACAAAATGCTTGGATGCAAGATTTCTTTTTTTTTTTTTTTTAAGATGGAGTCTCACTCTGTCACCCAGGCTGGAATGCAGTGGCACAATCTCGGCTCACTGCAACCTCCACCTCCCGGGTTCAAGCGATTCTCCTGCCTCAGTCTCCCGAGTAGCTGAGATTACAGGCGCCCGCCACCACACCTGGCTAATTTTTTTTTACTTTTAGTAGAGACAGGGTTTTACCATGTTGGCCAGGCTGGTCATGAACTCCTGACCTCAGGTGACTCACCCGCTTTGGCCTCCCAAAGTGCTGGGATTATGGGTGTGAGCCACTGCTCCCAGCCTTTTTTTTTTTTTTTTTTAAAGACAGAGTCTCACTCTGTTGCCCAGGCTGGAGTGCAGTGGTGCAATCATGGCTCACTGCAGCCTTGACATCCTGGGCTCAAGCAATCCTCCCACCTCGGCCTACCAAGAAGCTGAGACCACAGGCAAATACTGCTATGTCCGGCCAAGGATGTGTGATTTTTAAACCGGGGATTCACAGAAGCCTCACTCACAAGGTGATATTTGAGCAAAGGCCTGAAGGAAATAAGGAAGTGGGCTGGGTGCAGTGGCTCACACCTGTAATCCCAGCACTTTGGGAGGCCGAAGCGGGAGGATCACTTGAGCCCAAGAGTTCCAGACCAGCCTGGGTAACACAGTAAGACCTTTATTTCTACAAAAAATTTTTAAAATATCCAGGCATGGTGGCGTGCACCTGTGGTCCCAGTTACTCAGGAGTCTGAGGCAGGAGGATGGCTTGAGCCTGGGAGTTTGAGGCTGCAGTGAGCTATGATCATGCCACTGCACTCCAGCCTGGGTGACAGAGTGAGATGTCTCCAAAAAAAGAAGCCGACGCAGTGGCTCATGCCTGTAATCCCAGCACTTTGGGAGGCCGAGACGGGTGGATCACGAGGTCAGGAGCTCAAGACCAGCCTGGCCAAGATGGTGAAACCCCGTCTACTAAAAATACAAAAATTAGCCGGGCGTGGTGGCAGGTACCTGTAATCCCAGCTACTCAGGAGGCTGAGGCAGGAGAATCACTTGAACCTGGGGGGCGGAGGTTGCAGTGAGCTGAGATCGCGCCACTGCACTCCAGCCTGGGTGACAGAGTGAAACTCCGCCTCAAAAAAAAAAAAAAAGCAGACAGACATGAGGGCTGCTGTGCAGGTGCCTGTGATCAGTGGATGGAATCAGGGACCACACCTGTGTACTCAGCATGCAGCGGGGAAGGTGGAAAGCAGAGGGGTGACCAGCAACCCCAGGGCCCAGCCTGGCTCCAGCCTCAGGGCACTCCCTGGCCAGCCCTCCTGGAAACCCAGACAGTAAGCAGGCAGCCCACTCATCTCATGTCCCCTTTACAGGGTCACCCAGGGTCTCCCATGCCACACAGCACATGAAGATGGCCCTCCACCTGCCCTCTGGACCGTAAATCTTCTGCCAGCTCCAGACCATGCTGCCCTCCCCCAACCCTCTTGCTTTCTCCTTACATCTCTTTCCTTACATAACCTCCTCTCCCTCCTCCACCAGCCGCCCCATTCCCTACCTTCCCTCTGTCAACAAAGAGAGCATGGCCCACACTTGGTCACCTCCTAGCCGTGCCCATCTATGGACTTTCCATTCTGATCTTGCTAGTGGGTGACACCCCCTCCTGTCTGGTGTCCAGGATTCAGCCTGCACCCAGCTTTCCAGGTCTTCATCTCCCTTCCCTGCTTTCCTGGGTACCCCCTGCTCTGCCCAGGGCCTCCCACGCCTCACTCTCACTGGGCAGAGAGAAGACCAGTCCAGATGCCTTCAGGACCAGGCAGGGGCCGGGCACAGTGGCTCACATCTGTAATCCCAGCATTTTGGGAGGCTGAGGTGGGTCGACCACTTGAGGCCAGGAGTTTGAGACCAGCCTGGCCAACGTGGTGAAACCTCGTCTCTACTAAAAATATAAAAATTAGCCGGGCGTGGTGGTGCACACCGTAATCCCAGCTGCCTGGGAGGCTGAGGTGGGAGAATGGCTTGAATCTGGGAGGTGGAGGTTGCAGTGAGATCATACCACTGCACTCCAGCCTGGGTGACAGAGCAAGACTCCGTCTCAAAAAAAAAAAAAAAGCAGGCAGGGACCAGGCTTGGTGGCTCATGCCTGCAATCTCAGCACTTTGGGAGTCTGAGACAGGAGGATCACTTGAGGTCAGGAGTTCAGGCTGCAGTGAGCTGTGATCACACCACTGCACTCCAGCCTGGGCAACAGAGCTAGATCCTGTCTCTAAAAAAAAAAAAAAAGAAACAAACAAAGGGAAAGGGCCAATGAAAAGAGGAGAACTGAAGGTGCAGGAGGTGTAGGTTGGTGATGGAAGGATCCTTGTCCTCTCAGACGGCAGGAGAGTGAGACCCACATGGACTGGAGTACCTACAGGGGAGCGGCAGGATGCTGGTGGAGACAGACTGCAACTGGTGACCTCAAGATTCCAAGCGAAGTTGGAAGCAAACATAGGGGTCCAAGGAGGGAGGAAGGTTGTTGAGAGAATAAGAGAGGAAACCGACAAAGGCGGCTGGGCACGATGGCTCACGCCTGTAATTCCAGCTCTTTGGGAGGTCGAGGCAGATGGATCACCTGAGGTCGGGAGCTCAAGACCAGACCGGCCAATATGGTGAAACCCCCGTCTCTATTAAAAATACAAAAAATTAGCCAGGCGTGGTGGCGGGTGCCTGTAATCCCAGCTACTTGGAAGGCTGAGCCAGGAGAATCGCTTGAACCCGGGAGGCGGAGGTTGCCGCGAGCTGAGATCTCGCCATTGCGCTCTAGCCTGGACAACAAGAGCAAAACTCTGTCTCAAAAAAAAAAAAAAAAAAAAACTGACAAAGACTTAGGGTGTCAGTGGTGCCAGGAAGACCTGTGTGGTGAGGACAACAAACCTCTCACGGTCCTGAGGGCTTCCTCAGAGCCCTTCCCAGCCTGGTATACTGGCCGCAGAGGGGGTCGAAGCATGGGCCCAGAGTCGGGGTTCTGCTGGGCAGACGGCGATTACAGGAATGAGAGGAACTGCTGAGAAGCAGGCTGGGGTTACCACTAAGGACTGCTGGAGTGAAGGGGAAACAGGGTGTGGCCCTGAGAGTGGGTGGCTGAAGAGAAGGCAGGGAGGTCACCAAAGTTGAAGAGGTTCCGGAAGCCCGAGGCTGTTGGCTGGCTAGTGGCAGCGGAACTTGGGGAGGGGAGAGGGGAAAGTTCCAAAGACATCAGTGAATGGCAGAATGGCAAAGAGCAACCAAGAGGTCAGCTGGTACCAGGGCCAAGGACAGGAAGGGATGAGGGGTTGGACAGAGAAAAAAAAAAATGCTCTGGCCAGGCGTAGTGGCTCCCGCCTATAATCCCAACACTGGGAAGCCAAAGAGGGAGGATCGCTTGAATCCAGAAGTTCAAGACCAGCCTGGGCAACAAAGCAAGATCTCATCTCTACATAAAAATAAAAAAATTTAGCCGAGCATGGTGATGCGCACCTGTGGTCTCAGCTATTCAGGAGGCTGAAGCAGGAGGATCGCTTGAGCCCAGGAGTTCAAGGCTGCAATGAGCGCTGGTCTCACCACTGCACTCCAGCCTGGGTGACAGGGTAAGACCCAGTCTCTAAAAATAAATAAATAAATAAATAATTTAATTTAAAACAAAAAAGCCACACTCTGACGACAAGGTTTATCAGAGATCACTTGAGCTTATGCTACCTGCAGATTTCCTTTTGTAAACTGCTATATTATTCTGGTTGAACTCTATGAAACTGCCACATTTGTAGCTCAACAAAGTCAAATATCATCAGAACCATATAGTTCAAACAAATAGTTGCCCATATTTTTTAAAATCAGGAAAGTGGGCCGGGCATAGTAGCTCATGCCTGTAATCCCAGCACTTTGAGAGGCCAAGATGGATGGATCCCCTGAGGTCAGGAACTCAAGACAAGCCTGGCCAACATGGTGAAACCTCATCTCTACTAAAAGTACAAAAATTAGCCGGGCATGGAGGTACACAGTACCTGTAATCCCAGCTACTGGGGAGGTGAAGCCAGGACAATCACTTGAACGCGGGAGGTGGAGGCTGCAGTGAGCTGAGATCGCACCAGTGCACTCCAGCCTGGGTGACAAACCGAGACTCTGTCTCAAAAAAGTTTAAAAAAATAAAATAAACAAAATCAGGAAAGTATTACCAAATCTCAATTTCTAGCTTTTCTTGAAAACAAAATAAAAAAGGTCTATCATCACTCCTCTAACACTCACAGCGCTACAACAGCCTGATCTGAGCAGCTTTTTTTTTTTTTTTTTTTTGGAGACAGAGTCTCACTCTGTCACCCAGGCTGGAGTGCAGTGGCACGATCTTGGCTCACTGCAAGCTCCGCCTTCCAGGTTCACGCCATTCTCCTGCCTTAGCCTCCCAAGTAGCTGGGACTACAGGTGCCCGCTACCATGCCCAGCTAATTTTTTGTATTTTCAGTAGACACAGGGTTTCACTATGTCAGCTAGGATGGTCTCAATCTCCTGACCTTGTGATCCGCCCGCCTCGGTCTCCCAAAGTGCTGGGATTACAGGTGTGAGCCACCATGCCTGGCCCCCTTTTTTTTTTTTTTTTTAAAGACAGGATCTCTCTCTGTCACCCAGGTCAGAGTGCAGTGGCACGATCATAGCTTATTGCAGCCTGGAACTCCTGGGTCCAAGTGATCCTCCCACCTCAGCCTCCCAAGTAGTTGAGAACACAGGTGGGTGCCACCATGCCCAGCTGATTTTTAAAATTTTTTGTAGAGACAAGGTCTCACTATGTTGCCCACACTGGTCTTAAACTACTGGGCTCAAGCAATCCTCCCATCGCAGCCTCTCAAAGTGCTGGGATTACAGGTGTGAGCCACCACACCCGGCCTAGCAGCTCCTCCTTAGAAAACAAATGTGCTACCACACCCTATCGTCTTGTACCATCTCCACATTGCCTGCCAGGGACCTCAGCCACCCCTATATCATGCAAAGATTCAGGGGTGTCTACAGAACACACCCCCACTTGGGTTCTTCAGTACATAGGGGCTGGGAAATGGGTACTCTCCCCTGCAGAGGGCACTGGGAAGCATGCCCTTCAAAAAGTCAGCCCCGGCCTCTGTTCCTGGCACCTGTCTGGCTCGCGAGACGACAGCTCCTGGCACATCTCCCTGCTCCCAGGCCATCCAACAGCCGCCACAAGACCTGCCCCGCCACAAAGTCTCACCATGACCTCACAGATGGGAGGCGCTCTCCGTCCCAAAGCAGGAGCACCTCCTCTTAGCCCACACATGCACTCGACCACCTGAGCCCTCTGGGCTGCAACCCCTGGGGGAAGCGCGGGGCAATCCCTCATCCCACCTGGCCTCCGCTGTTCATTCTTCCTTCTCTCTGGAATGCCCCCACCTGGCCCCTCACTGACAGCCTCCTCACCCCTCAAGATCCAGTTCAGGGCCGGGTGCAGTGGCTCACGCCTGTAATCCCAACATTTTGGGAGGATGAGGCAGGCGGATCATGAGGTCAGGAGATCAAGACCATCCTGGTCAACATGGTGAAACCCCGTCTCTACAAAAAATACAAAAATTAGCTGGGCGTGGTGGCGTATGCCTGTAATCCCAGCCACTGGGGAGGCTGAGGTGGGAGAATCGCTTGAACCAGGGAGTCGGAGGTTGCAGTGAGCCAAGATCTCACCACTGCACTCCAGCCTGGTGAAAGAGCGAGATTCCATCTCAAAAAATAAATAAATAAATAAATAAATAAATATCCAGTTTAGGGCAGCCATGAGCTACTGACACCATCGAATGCTCAAAGACACAAACCCCAGGACAGCTGCAGTCCCAGGCATGCTGACCATCCATCCACCAAGCCAGATGCTTAATACAGAAGGCAGGTTGGGAAGTTCTCTCCCCAGGCCCCACAGTATACCTCTGCCCCGCTCACAATCTCACCTGAAGAGCTGACCCAAGAACTAGAGATCAGGGGGCCTGGGCCACACTGGGAAGTGGAGGCTGTCAGGCTGCTGGGCTTTGCAGACGCACCTGCAGCAGGATTCCTTTAGGAAACATCCTATGTCCACAGCACAGTCCGGGCGAGGGCAGCCACGTGTGACTGGCATGATTTCCCTCTCCCCCAAAGTGGGCTTTTCTTCCCTCACACAGTCGCCCTCTCCCGCCGCTACCATCACCAAAGCCTGGGTCAGGAGGTGTCCGGTGGTACCTGGGCCACTCCACTTCCCGGTTGCTGTCCACACCCATACCGTGGCGGGGCAGACGAGGAAGCACCCCTTTCTGCTGATCACGAAGCATGAAAGGATCAGACAGGATGAGAGCGCCAAGTGTAAAGAAAAGATCAGGCCGGGAGCACTGGCTCAAGCCTATAATCCCAGCACCTTGGGAGGCCGAGGAGGGCGGATTGCTTGAGCCCAGGAGTTTAAGACCAGCCTGGGCAACATAGGGAGACTTCGTCTCTTAAAACAAAAAAAAAAAAAAAAAAAAAAAAAGAAAAGAAAAAAAGAAAAAAGCTGGGCGTGGTGGTGTGCACCTGAGTCCCAGCATCTCGGGAGGCTGAAGCGAGAGGATCCCTTGAGCCTGAGAGGCGGAGGCTACAGTGAGCCGAGATCGCGCCGCTGCACTTCAGTCTGGGCGACAGAGGAAGACCCTCTCTCAAAATAAATAAATTAATAAATAATAATAATAAAGAAAGAAAGAAAGAATAAGAAAAAAAAAAGGGAGAAGAAAAAAGTATCAGAAAATGGCTCAGTGTGCCCATGAACCTGACTTGCCGGTTAATTTAGGCACCGCGCATCAACTCACTCGGCCAGAACCCCTCGTGTGGTGGGGCACCCAGAAGCAGTAGCGAAGCCGTTGCTGGGGATCCAGGCGCACTCACCTTCTGCGCTCCCCAGTGCCCGGGAGACGCACCTTCCTCGTCCCAACCCCGTGTACCGCCGCACCCCCAGCCAGTCCCGTGATCTCCTCCGCTGATCTGGCCGCCTACTCGAGGCCGTCCCGGAACCCCGGACCCAAGCCGCGCGCGCAGGGAACTGCCCGGCCGAGCTCGCTCACCGAAGTAGTCCCGTGCCGTGCGCGCCTCGAGCGCCCGCTCCAGCTCCCGGGTAAGCGCCTCCAGCCGCCGCTCGGCCGCGCTTGGGCCGCCCTCCCGGCCCGGGGGCAGCGGGAGCGCAGGCAGCGGGAAGGGGGCTGGCCCCGCAGGCTCCGGGGAGCGAGCGGGCGCGGGGCAGGCGCCGGGCGGGAGGAGGTCAGCATAGGCGCCGGCCGAGCCCCGGGAGCCGAGGCTGGACACGCTGGAGCGGGCGCTGCCCACCGACGGCGGCCCGGGGCCGGGGCGCGGGTCCGAGCGGCCGGAGCGCGGGCTGCCGTGGCGCTGGTCGTAGCCCAGGCTGATGCCGCTGGAACGGGCGCTGCCGCCGCCGCCGCCGCCGTCGGACCCCGCCAGGCTGGCCCGTGGGCTGCCCGCAGGCTGCGCGCTGACCTCCGGGGCCACCGCGCGCCGGGGACCCCGCTCCCCGCGGCTCAGTCCGTCCGCCCCGGCCTCGGGGCCGCCGCCGCCCTTCCCTCTGCGGCCCAGCGCGGGCGCCGCCTCGTCTCCAGGCCCAGGCCGCGGTCCCCGCCGCCCCCGACCCGGAGAGCAGCCCCCGGGCTCCAGCTCCCGCAGGGCCAGCCCGGCCAGGAGCAGGGCCGCCTCGTCCGCGGCCGCCCGGGAGCGCTGCATGGCCCGGCCCGCCGGCCCTGGCGCGTCACCTCCGCCTCCGCTTCCCGCCGCCGCTCCGGCCGGGCCGCCGCATCGTCCGCCCGAAGCCCGGAGCCCGCCCCGGGACCCCTGGGCGCGGGGCGGGGCGGGGCCGGCGCCGGGCCGGGGTCGCTCCGGCGGCCACGCGTGGGCCGGGGGACGCTGCGCCCTACTCGGCGGCGCGCGCAGCGGAGGAATGTGCGCTCCCTGACGCCGGGCCGCGCCCCCTCCTCGCCGCGGCCTCGCGGGGGGCGGAGGGACTCCTTTGCGGGGGCAGGAATGCGAGGAAGGAGACGGCGCTGCGGCCTCTGGAATGTGGGGGGAGTGGCGGCGGCCGCGCTGCGCCGGGACCTCGGAGGGGCGTGGAGGCCGAGCCAGGACGCAGGGGCGGGCGGCGGAGGCGCCGCGGGGAGAGCCCAGGGTCCGCGGGGCGCCCGGGCCGTCGGGCCGTTTGGAAAAGCTCGGATTTCCGCAGGCTGAGCTGGAGGCAGCTGGCGCCATCCGGCCTGGAGAGATCCAAGCAGTCGACAGCGTTCCCCACATCCCGCCCCATCTCCTTTCCCTGCGCCGCCTCGCTCTCTGGCGCTGCAGGGCCGACCCAGCTCAGCTTGGAGCCCAAGGCGCTGCGCCTGTCCCACGCCCGGGAACACTGTGCGCCTCGCGCAGATGCGTCCCCACGACCCCCTGCCTGGCCCGGGGCCATGTGTTCGCGCACGGGCCTCTGGAGCCCCCGTCTGACTGCTGGGGAAGGCGCCCAGAGCTAGGAGCGGGTTGGTTGCGGACTGGTCCTCGCGCTGGGTCGCTTTGCCCAGGTCCCCAAGGCCAGGCCAGAAGCAGGCCTCAAGCTCAGAGCCGGTCGGCGGCGAACCTCCCCTGTGGTCATCACAGGCAGTCCCCGTGAAATGTGGGGACTCCTCCCTTTTCCAGCACCTGCACCCACTGTGGTGGGTGAGGCTTCGAGGGGAGGTCCTGGAACCGGCGGAGCCATGGGGGCCACATAGGTGGGGAATTGAGAGGTGACTAGGGCTTCATGCCCAAGGACACAGCTAATATCCCTTGTACAAGTCACACGGCTATAGGGAAGAAAACCAAACCGTTATCTGTCAGGGCCTGATGGATCCAGGAAAAGTGTTGCGTGAAAGAGGACTGTTTCCAGGCCTCTGCTCAGAGATTTTCGGGAAGGCGCCTACAGTGGCTCAGTGCGCAGGGAGCCCGCATCGGGAACTGTCCCAGCCAGATGGCCCAGGGCAGTGTGGCCTCAACACAACTGAGCACCTGCTGGGCCGCTGACCCCAGCACCTTACCATAGCCTGTCGCTCTGTCCCCCAGGCTGGAGTACAGTGGTGTGATCACAGCTCACAGTGATGCCACACACCCCCGAGTTTCGACCTCCTGGGCTCAAGCAATCCTCCCACCTCAGCCTCCTGAGTACTTAGGAGTACAGGCGCACACCACCACACAAAATGCTGAGATTACAGGCATGAGCCTCCATGCGGGGTCCAGAAGCCAGCATTTGGGAGAGTAAATACCCAGGGAAGCCACGGCATGAAAAATGGTCTACCTTTCTAATGAAAAAGGAAAAGCCAGTTCATATCGCATTTCACAGATTGCATTATCTACTATTTAAAAAGGACAATATTGGCAGGACTGTGGTGAAACAGTTGCACATATGCTACTGGTATGAGTGCAAATTGGTATATCCTTTTGGGGAGAGCAGTTTGGTGGTGTCAACACCCGCACAAACGAACACGAACACTTAGAAGCAGTAATACTGCTTCTAAAAATCTGTTCAAGGGAAGTTATCCAAAATGCAGACAATAATCCAATCACAACCGTGTCGTATAATCCCAACATCATTTAGGTAATCTACAGAGCTCCCCAACCTTTTTGGCACCAAGGACTGGTTTTGTGGAAGACAATTTTTCCACAGACAGAGATGGGTAGGGTGGGAATGGTTTCAGGATGATTCAAGGGCATTGTATTTATTGTGCACTTTATTTCTATTATTATTACATTGTAATATATAATGAAATAATTATACAACTCACCATACCATAGGAACAGTGGGAGCCCTGAGCTTGTTTTCCTGCAACTAGATGGGGGTGATGGAAGACAGTGACAAATCATCAGGCATTAGATTCTCATAATGAGTGCACAGCCTAGATCCCCTGCATGCGAAGTTCACAATAGGCTTCGTGCTCCTGTGAGAATAGAGGTGAAACCCAGGTGGTAATGCTCCCTCGCCCTCTGCTCACCTCCTGCTGTGTGGCCCAGTTCCTAACAGGCCGTGGTATACCAGTCTGTGGCCCAGGGATTGAGCCCCTGATCTATTCTGTCCTAGGATCTCCAGCCTTCTGAAAAGACGCTCAAAGGGAGCTCTCTGCATTTAAAGGCAGCTGTTGAGCTGAGTGTAATGTAATCCCAGTGCTTTGAGAGGCCAGTATAGGAGGATCACTTAAGGCCAAGAGTTCAAGACCAGCCTGGGCAACGTAATGATATTCCATCTCTACAAAACATTAAAAATTAGCTGCTATGGGAGGCTGAAGTGAGAGGATGCTTGAGCCCAGGAGGTCAAGGCTACAGTGAGCAGTGATGGCATCACTGCACTTCAGCCTAGATGACAGCACAAGATTCATCTCTACAATAAAAAATAAAAAATTAAACTGGTGCGGTGATGGGCACTTGTAGTTCAGCTATTCGGGAGACAGGCGGGAGGATTACTTGAAACCAGGAGTCTGAGGTTACAGTTAGCTATAACTGTGCCACCACACTCCGGCCTGAGTGACAGAGCAAGACCCTGTCTCTACAAAAACAGTAAACAAAGGCAGTTTAATTAAACTGTTCTGGCTGGGCACGGTGGCTCACTCCTATAATCCCAGCACACTGGGAGGCTGGGACGGGCGGATCACTTGATCTCAGGAGTTCGAGACCAGCCTGGCCAACATAACGAAACCCTGTCTCTATTAAAATAAAAATACAAAAATTAGCCGGGTGTAGTGGTGCACACCTGTAATCCTAGCAACTTGGGAGGCTGAGGCACAAGAATCGCTTGAACCCAGGAGGCAGAGGTTGCAGTGAGCCAAGATCACACCACTGCACTCCAGCCTGAGCAACAGAGCAATACCCTGCTCCAAAATAATAATAATAATAATAAGTAACTGTTCTTTCCCCACCTGCCCACTTAGAGCTTTCAAGATTTAAACTATATTCACATCCAGGGTCAGCTAAAACCTGTTACTTGCTCTACTAGTAATAAATGACAACAACAAAACCCAGAAACAACCTAAAATGTTCGATATTCACCATTAGAATAGTTTAAGTACTTCCTTGAAGTGGGAAATACATTAAGCAGTTAGTTATATTCAAAAGATTTAATGAATGACTTGGGAATCAGACTATTGCGATGTTAGGTGAGTTTGAAGTAGTCTACAGAATTGTGGGGTCTCATCTCTACATTACCTAAATGTCCCCCTGACCCCATCTTCTGTCTTCTCACTCCAGGGGTATTGAGTGATCTCAACAGACTGGCTCCTTCTGACTGAGATGCACAGTCTGGGAGAAGGAAGGGGATGGGGCTCTCTCAAGGGATTTAAAGCACTGTCCATGGACTCAATGTCCAGCCCCCACTGATGCCCCCTCTGTCCTCCCCTGTTGCAGGAATGTTCGTTGTGTTCACCTCTCTCTGGGCATTTTCCTCCTGAGTCCAGTTGTGTGCTGGTAAATGTCTAACCAGTTCTCTGGGGAGGAATTGGTATAAATCAAGAGCCCTGATGTGTAGCATTTGTCAGTTACCATGGTATAAATTCTCCCAGCATGGCCAATTTCAAGCTATAAATATGGGGCCACTGAACTGAGCTGGAAAGAAATGGGTATAACCAGTTCTTGCAAGCTGGGATAAGCCGGCTCTACACACCACTGCCTGAGTCCCACTGTTCCAAAGGAGGGGTTTCACTACGCTGTGGCTTCTAGTTTATCATCCTCTCAAGTTACCTGGTCTTCCCTTTGTTTAAGCAGAGACACACTTGGAGGCCGGAACAGGACATGTTCAATCTAGTCTTGTACCATGTCCTGAACCACCATCATCATCATCTTCCCAGAACCCAGGAGCTTACCCTACCCGGACTCTGTCCACATCATGGTGATTTTTTTTTTTTTTTTTTGAGACAGTTTCACTCTTGTTGCCCAGGCTGGAGTGCAATGGCATGATCTCAGCTCACCACCACAACCTCCACAGGAGGCTACACAACCACCGCAACCTATGCCTCCCAGATTCAAGCAATTCTCCTGCCTCAGCCTCCCAAGTAGCTGGAATTACAGGCATCCACCACCACGCCTGGCTAACGTGTGTGTATGTGTGTGTGTATATATCTCAGCCTCCCAAGTAGCTGGAATTACAGGCATCCACCACAACCCTGGCTAACTTGTGTGTGTGTGTGTGTGTGTGTGTGTATAAATATATATATATATATATTTTTTTTTTTTTAGTAGAGATGGGGTTTCACCATGTTGGCCAGGCTGATCTTGAACTCCTGACCTCAGGTGATCCACCCACATTGGCCTCCCAGAGTGCTGGGATTACAGGCGTGAGCCACCCTGCCTGGCCCACCATGGTGATGTTTTAAGGAGCCCCCCATGCCCCTCCTTGTAATGTAGCTTCCATCAGACCTCCTTAATTGTCTGTACTGTATGGACCCCAGGTATTGACAGAATTCAGGGGTTTTCCTATGGAGTCCTGGGCCACTTGTCAATCAGCTGTGACTGGATAACGGGTTATAAGGGAAGGGGGATGGCAGCCAAACTCCACATGAAGTTTCTGGGACCCACACTTCTTTCTCGTTAGCCTATGACAGTTTTTACCCTTGTCTAATTTCCAGCACCAGTCTCTCACCCGAAGCACACACAGCTTTCCTGCTCAGCTCCTGGGGGCCACTCCTCCCACACACAGCACCAGGCTCAAGGTGCATGTTCTATCCTATCCACTGGGAGGGTTTTTCCAT